AGGTCATTGGGTCAAGGTCATGAAATTTTAAGGGTAGGTCAGAATCAATCACCAAGAGGGTTGTGAAAGTTTCGTCGCGATCAGTTGCTTTTTGCGCGAGTTATTTGTGAAAAACCGAGGGGGCATCCACCCCCCGTCCCCCACGTGCGAGGGCTAAGCGATGGCTGCAGGAGTGCTGTCGAAGTGTTTTCCAATTTCCAGGGAGCCGCACCGCGAGGCGCAAGAAGATCGGGTTCTCTACGGGACGGGCACACGATCGAAATAGTCTCTGCGCTGCTCAGTGCTCAGTGTACCGTAAGGAGGGCGGGACTATTTGCTACCATATTGATGGTTTTTGGCTTCCTCTAAAGTGGTTCCTACAATGCATATTTCTAAAATGTTACATAACGTTTCAGGTACTACCTTCGTCCCGTCACATTCTCTCTCTCTCTCTCTCTCTCTCTCTCTCTCTCTCTCTCTCTCTCTCTCTCTCTCTCTCTCTCTCTCTCTCTCTCTCTCTCTCTCTCTCTCTCTCTCTCTCTCTCTCTCTCTCTCTCTCTCTCTCTCTCTCTCTCTCTCTCTCTCTCTCTCTCTCTCTCTCTCTCTCTCTCTCTCTCTCTCTCTCTCTCTCTCTCTCTCTCTCTCTCTCTCTCTCTCTCTCGCTCTCGCTCTCGCTCTCGCTCTCTCTCTCTCTCTCTCACGCTCTCTCTCTCTCGCTCTCGCTCTCTCTCTCTCACGCTCTCTCTCTCTCTCTCTCTCTCTCTCTCTCGCTCTCGCTCTCGCTCTCGCTCTCTCTCTCTCTCTCACGCTCTCGCTCTCGCTCTCGCTCTCTCTCTCTCTCTCTCTCTCTCTCTCTCTCTCTCTCTCTCTCTCTCTCTCTCTCTCTCTCTCTCTCTCTCTCTCTCTCTCTCTCTCTCTCTCTCTCTCTCTCTCTCTCTCCGTACCCCCGCACACTCAGTGGACGTGTATGTGCGCCCTTCCGTACCCCACCGTGGGCGTGTATGTACCCCCTCCATACCCACAGCGAGCGTGTGTGTACCCCCTCTGTACCCCCAGCGGGCGTTTACTCCCCGTACCCGTTTCGCGTGGACGGCCGCCGACTGCCCACCTGCGTGGCCTGCAAGAACCACGGCCTCGTGATGCTGACCAGGGGCCACCGCAGCCGCTGTCCGTTCCGCAGCTGCACTTGCGCCCAGTGCACTCGACACCAGTGCGTGAGCATAAGCGGCGATGGACGAGCTGGAGCTATTCACAGCCCTTATTGTGTTTCAAAGATGATCTCGTAGAAGTTAGCTCAATATTTGGTGTAGATGGTAATTTAGCTCCCACTCTATATGAATTAATGTTGTGTTATTGTCAATGAGTTGACTTACGCTCAAAATTCTTTGGAGAAGAATGTGGTTAGGTAATAATTGGTATACCTAGTTACCTTTGATAGTATGGAACGATGTTGAGAACTTTTATTACGCTCAGCTGTTGGCGCGAATCGCGATAGATTATTACATCGTTCGATGACACAGTAATGTTAGATACATATTCCGTCACATCGCTATTAAAATAGCGTTCGTAATTATCTGCTCTGCCATAGGGCTAAGAACTCCAAGCGATTGGCGAGTAAGCAGGCGGCCCTGTCCGGTCCGCCACCCTCCCGGCCTCAGGCGGCATGTGAGTATAGCGTTCGAGAGAAATGGCCACACGAGACGTGGGACAGTACCGTGCAAGCGGAGAAAACTACAACAAATGTTGTCTTTCTGTCAGATAAGTCCCGGTTCTTATCAATATCGAACTTTCGAATTAAATGTTACGTGTTCAATGTTCATAGTTATATCATGGAAAACCTAACTATTGAAGCCTAGAACTACGGAATATGTACCCAAATGACAAAATATATGTCATTGGACTATATATTTCGTGCTAGAGCGTATATTGCCTGGAAAGTTGTCCCCCTGACCTAGTCGACAGTATCTAAATTTAGGGCACTCCAGTCCCTACTGCGGGTCATTGCTGCCCGCAGCTGAGTGACTGATGGCCGGTCGGATTTCAGCCCCGAGACGCCAGGCATCTCCCGACTCATCCTGCAGGGACCGTTCGCTGGTGCCGCTGGCTCCTCGGCCACCATCCGCGGTCAAAGGCCGACCCCCCGCCGCCGCCACCACGGCGGCAGCTGCGGCGAGCGCGTCCACCACCGCTGCATTCTCTGCCACTACCACCGCCACCACCGCGACCACCGCGACCACGGCCCGTGCCGGCTCCGGCCGACCGGTCCCCGCTGTCCCGTCCGCCCCGTCCGGCCCGCCCGGCCCATCCTCCGCCGCTTCACCGGTGGACATCAACAACAATAACTCCAGCACCAACACCAGCAGCGGCGGCGGCGGATGGTACCGCTCGCTAGCCTCCAAGATCGTGCCGCTGCCGTCGCCGACGCCGGCCACCCCGGACCGCGTCAGCTCGACGGTGCCGGCCGGCGAGGCGGAGCGGCCGGCGCCGGGCACGCCGCGCCGCCGGCCCGCGCTGGCTGCCGTGCTGGCCGCCGTGGGACGGTGCGAGGACCGCGCCGCGGTGGCCGCGCGCCGTGTCACCGAGACAGCCGCCCGGTACCGGCCGTACCCGGCGCCGGGAGCGGCCCGGGCCGACGGGCCGCTCGGCAGAGCGCCGCTCTCCTACTGGCCCCAGCCGTGGGCCAGCGATCAGAGCCACTGGCGGGCGGCCGCGCAGCAGAGCTACAGGTCAGACGGGCACCGCGCCGGGTAACCAAGGGAATCGAGCCGTTCTAGTATTTCTTTTCTAGAAAATGGAATCAATGGCTGATGATTTTCGCTTAATTACCATTCATGATAGAAGCCTGTCGTCTATCCGGTACTTCATGATAGAAGCACCAGATAGACATCGCTGAAAAAACTGCTACCTCGTGTAAGAGGGATACCGATGACTATATCCTGCTGTATCCGTAGCGTCCAGTTTCCAGCGGATGCTCACTCGACCTCTCCGTGCGGCAGGTCGTCGTTCGGCTCGTGGTCGGCCCACGGCGCCGTCTGGAACCAGATATCCTACGGCCTGACGTCGGGCGGCGACCGTGAGACGCCGATGAATTCGGCCGCCGTACGGGACAGCCCGCCGCCACCGCCGGTTACCGCCGCCGCACCCGCCCACCGCCCCAGAGCGACACAGGACAGCAGCCCCGGTGAGCGCCGCAGGAGCGAAAGGGAAGGTTTGGGTGAAATATACAGGGCTAGGGTGTTGAAACAATCTGCATGAACGCTCAGCTCACGGGATCTTCACGGGATCCTGAAGGGACCCCGTTGCGTTTTTTGTCGTAGTTTGTAATTTTCTACCGTATTTTCTGATCGGACAGAGACCGCCACAATGGAGGAAAGAAGATGTGCCAAGCTGTGCTTAGCTCGCGAGCTCTGACTTCGCCATTTCATACAAACTCAAGCAAAGTGCCTACTCATTCCATCGTACAACACCATTTCGGTCATTGATGTTTTATAACATTCGTCGATGGTGGATACGAGGGGCACCTTGGAGCAGTGTCTTCTTGTAGTGGCCGAAATTTACGATATTTTGTAATTTTTCACGCACTTAATAATGACTATATATTTTTTTCGTGCTAGACCTTATTTTAACCCGGCAGTTGCTGGGGTATTTCGCCACCCGCCGTTTGCTGGGGGGGGGGGGGCGTTAAACGCCCCCCAGCCGATAACTCGAGAACCAATAGGCGCAGCGAAACGCACGAGGCGGCAAACGAAAGAACGGGACGAGACGCTTCAGATGGGTACTTTTAAGTTGAATTTTGACGTCACAGGTCGGGTCAAGGTCAGGTCAAACACATAAAATCGGGCTTTCAGTAGCATGGACTTCAGGACTTCGCAATGGGCGCCTCTCGTCATAAACTCTGTCTAAACGGTACACAATCATTCATATAAGGCCTACAATAGTGTCAGATCCATGTAGGGGTCAGTCAAGCATAGGTCAGGGTCAAGATCAGGTCAACCGGGTAGGCACATAACCCCGAAAATCAAAACTGATATTCGCAGCCTGTGACACATGTTAAATGGGTAATTTTGGGCGTAGAACACGCTGGTAACATTCATTTTATCGTATGTGTACGTGTTTGGTTCAAAAAGTTCAATTTAAGAAATCCATGTATCATGGTCGTGAAGTAGTCACGAGAAATTGCCAAGATTCAGTTCAAGATTTTGGACAATGCAGAATAATAATCAAAAATCGAAGATGGCCACTTGATTGTTCATGGTATTGGCAGTCTAATGGCGTTCACGGCATATCTGTATGTCTATTCTGTGATTTTATATGATTTTTTGGTAAATATGCGATTTTTTGAACATATGCTGTTTTTGGTCGAAAACCGAGAAATCATGACGTCACTAAAACCTCGATATCTCAAGATTTTTCGATTTTTTTGAAACTTTGTCACAATATACTTCATTCAATTCCCTACTGGTAGCCAAATTTTGGCGCCTGCTGGTGAAACGGCCGCCTGCGGCGCGCCGTTTCACTTTAGCCTATAGCGCCCCAACTGGTGAAACGGCCCCCCCCCCACTTTTTTCGCCTATAGCGCGGCGAAAAAAGCGGGGGCGTTTACCCCCCCCCCCCCCAGCAACTCGCGGGTTCACGGGGTTCAGTTGCACAGCAACGCCAACGGATGCGAAATTCGTGGCATTTCTTTCATTTCAAAACGCATTCGTAATAAATTAGGTATTCCAGGCCAGGCATACCCAGAGCGTCCAAAACCACCGTTCTAGATCCGTCATGATAATTTCCCTGACACTTAAATCTACGACGGTACTAAAGCTCATGAATTTCTACACGGCACAATACGCACCCAGTGTTGTGACTGTCAGCCGGTACAGTCTACGTTCAGGGCTCAGGCGCACTACGCACCTGCCATCTAGCGGAGGGATTATAGACTGGCACCTGCTGTCCGGCACAGTCTACCTTCAGGCGCTCGACGCCGCTGCCACCTAGCGGAGAGAAAATAGACTAGAAGTTGCTACCCGGCACAAGGCGCTACTTGAGGCGCCCGATTCTGCTGCCATCTAGCATGCGGCACAGGCTACCTTCAGGCGCTGACGCAGCTGCCATCTAGCGGAGAGATTATAGAATGGCACGCTGTTGTCCGGCACAGCGTGTGTTCAGCCGCTCGATCCTGTTGTTATCTAGCGTATGAATTACAGGATAGGCTGTTTAACTTATTCTGGAGGTGAACCACTTTATAGGCACTTCCTTCATGTCGTGTCACCTTGTGACAACAATGCATATGCTGTAACTGCTATCTAATGCTAACATAAAATTGTAAAATTGACGGTTAAGTAGCAATGTTTGATGGGTGTTAAAAAATTTTCAGATCCCAATGTTGTGGTACATGGTACCTACATGCAATGCCTAAACGGGAATAGATACACGTCGTACGTACATGACCTGCAGTGCTCTGAGGCAAAGCATATCTGACATAAAATGTTCCATTTCCAATATTGGCCGGAGCTCGTGAGAGACCTGCGGACTTGGTATTGTTTTCCATTGTAGGTGTAAATTTATGCTTATTGATGTAGGTATACTAACAGTGGTATTTATGCTGTGGTGAGCTAATTTCATCTTCTTTCTTCAAACTCTTAATTTCACGTGAACCCCAATTATTATCAGGTCCTGCTACGGAGTCGGCGTATCACCCGGAGCCCACCTATGAGCCAGAGCGGGGTGCCACGCACGCCCGGGACCACTGTGCCACCGAGCCGGGGCTGGACCTGCGTCCGGCCGACCGCCAGCAGCCAGCCACCGACACGGTACGGGACGTCACGGGACGTCGTGAGTTGGGCTGAATATGCCGGACAGATTCAGCCTGCTCAAGGTGTGCTGATGTGTGTGTGTGTGTGGGGAGGGGGGGAGCCGGTTGCATAGTGTGCTGTTTGACCTCGCTGGGTGTGCCGTGAAATATTTTTTTTCGTGTCCGCAGAGCTGCAACCTGTACAACTGGCTGTCGAAGCAGATTGACGTGGAGCAGCGTCCCGGCGAGGAGGGCGCCCTGCGCCGGCTGCCGCCGCGGACCGCGGCCGCCGCGCCGCCGCTGCGCCTGCTCTACATGACCGGCCTGCAGGAGACGCCCTTCTCGCAGCTGCTGCGCCAGCTGGCCGAGCAGCCGGCGCGGCCGGCGCCGGCGCAGTCGCCGCCTCACGAGCTGCCGCCGCCGGGCCAGCTGCCACCCTTCTGCAGCCTGTACCCGGCCGCGGCGGCGCGTCCCGAGGCCGGCCGCCGCTCGCCGCCGCGTCTGGCCGGCGCGGCCCCGCCGCTGCCGCAGACGGCCGGCTGGGCCGAGCAGGCGGAGTCGCCCGCCGTCGGCTGGCCCGCGGACACCGTCCGTCACCAGGCCACGTACGACTTTGACGTGGTGGCGGCTGAGGAGAGCGGCTCTCCGCTGGTGGGCGCCGGCGCCGCCGGCTGGCCGGGCCTCAGCACCTCCTCTGCGGTGCCGGCGCCGACCGACGGCGTGCTGCAGTCGCCGCGCGGCCCCCAGCAGTACCACACCGCGGACTGGACCGCTGACCCGACCACCGAGCCGGGCAGCGCAGTCGCCGCTCCGTTCTCTCCGCTGGGCGCGGCCGACTCCGGCAGTCCCTGGATGTTCTACCAGCAGTACCAACAGCAGTACCAGCAGCAGTACCTGCAGCAGTGCGCGCAGCAGTACCAGCAGCAGCTGTCCCAGCTGGCCGGGCTGACCGGCTGGCAGACGGAGCAGGAACCGGCCTGGATGACGGCGGCTGGAACCCGCGACCAGCTGTGGCCGGTAGCTGAGCTCGGAGACCCGGCCGGCGCCGAGGACCTGTCTCTGACGGGAGCTGCTCTGTCAGCGGCCACCAGCACCGGCCAGGAGGGCTACCCGCTCTGCGGACTGGGCCTGCCGAGCCACAGCTACGCTCTCGGACTGGGTCTGCCGAGTACCACAGACTTCACAGTGGGTTTGTCAGACCAGAGCGGCCCTCTGGACGGCGGCATTGGCTCTGCGGCCGGTCCTAGCCAGTGTTATCCCTCAGACTACGACATGGGGCTGACGCCGGCCTGCAGCGGCCCCTCGGACGGGCCGCTGGGGACGCTGGGTCGGTCCGACCGTGCGGCTGGCTCCTCGGCCCACTGCGCCACTGCCGATACCGCCGTCTCGGGCGGGGAGACCGCCGCCCACCCGGCACTATACTCCACGCCTGTCTCCGGCGCGGCCTCCAACTGCGGCGGCTCGCAATCACAGGGTGCGCTGGGGCCCAGCTATGACCCCACGGTGCCTTTAGTACCCGACTCCGGACCGTCTGAGACCCAGAGGGATCAGCAGTACCTGCTGACAGCAGACCGAGGGCAGGACGCCTCCTCAGGGGCTGACGCCGCGCCGCCACTGACCACCGACCCGGTCCTGGGCGACGACCCGACGGGCAGTCTGGAGAGGGAGTCTGGAGAGGCTGCCACCGCACAGGAAACTGAACTAGACGCGGACCTCGGAACGATGCAGGGAGCAGAAATGGAAACCGGCTTCGAAATGGAGCAGGGAACGGACCGCCAGACGGAACAGGGAACGGACCGCCAGACGGAACAGGGAACGGAAATAGAAACTGGCCACGAAACGGAGAAGGCAACGGACCTCGAGATAGAGCAGACAATAGACATTGAAACGGACATCGATACGGAGCAGTCTACGAAAATAGAAACTTGCCCCGAGACGGAGCAGCCAACGGAAATGGAGACGGACCTCGAAACGGAGCACGGACCGGGAGTGAAGCCAGGAGTTGGTGCGGGACTTCAGAAGCAGTTGGACGCGGAGTTTGGCACAGGGCTGGACCATTCCAGTATGCTTCTCAGTCCTGGCGGAACCACCGAGCTGCTGGTCCGAGACGCGGTGATGTCACGGACAGGGAGTGACGTCACCGGAGGCCAGGTGGCGGCGTTGGCTGGGGAGGGCTTAGAAGCGGACGGTCCCGCGCCAGAGGCGGGCCAGACGGCCCCAGAGGGAAATCAGGCGGCCTCAGAGGTGGACCAGGCGGACCAGGCGGATCGTCCGGTCTTAGACGCGGACCAGGCGGCCCCAGAGACGGACCGTCCGGTCTCAGGGGGGAATCAGCCGGCTCCAGAGGCGAACCAGACGGCTCCAGAGGAGGACCAGGCGGCCCCACAGATGGACCAGACGGCTCCAGAGGCGGGCCAGGCGGCTTCAGAGGCGGACCAGACTGCCCCAGAGGCGGACCAGGCGGCCGTCGAAGCTCTGGATGGCGCGGGAAGTCCCGGAGAGCCGATCAAGGAGGTGGTGACCGCTGCGCAGTCCGACCGCCGAGCCCAGCCGGAAGAAGACGCTAGCTATCCGGTGTTGGACATTACTGAGCCAGAGTTGGACGCCAATGACGCACAGCACCACAGCGAACAGCCCCCTGAGATGGGTGACCACGACAGCGACACTGAGCGGCGGGCAATGATCTCAGACCGGCAGGCGAACTCAAACGAGCAGGTGTCTGATGTAGCAGAGAACTCGCTTGGAGTCACCGACGTCACTAGAGCGCTGACTGACGCCAATGAAGACGCTGCTGCAACCAACGGGCAGGCGGACATCGTACAGCAAGGTGCACACGGTCCCGGTGAGTTGGGCGTCGGCATGGACATGACGAATGCTGTCACAAACGAATCCACTATCACGGATCGGTCTTCTGGCGTCACAGGTCACCTTACTGATGTCACAGGTCACCTTAAGGACGTCACAGCCGAAGCGGCTGACGTCACACCCGACCCAGCCGATATCAATGAGGAAGTAGTCGCCGGGAACGACTTAGCCACGCGGGCCTCTCCCATTGTGAGCCCAACTCCGACAGAGCTGCCTGCCAGTGACGAGGTCGGATCGGCTGCCCAGCAGCCTGCCGACTCCGCGAGCACGACGGACAGCCCTCTAGGGTCAGCCGAGTGCGACCCGGCCGACACTGCCGCCGCGACTGACCGGCCTCTGAGGCTGGAGGAGGGCAGTTCGGCGCCGGACGGGCCGGACGTGGGTGACGGCACTCTGAGGTCGGAGGAAGGTCTGCTAGAGTCGGAGGAGGACGGGTCTGCTGCGACTGAAGACGCTGAGGATCCACACACACCCCGCCCAAGTGTGTGCTGCACTCCTGCCCCGGTGACGCAGGCAGAGGTGGGAGTGGCGGCGCCGGCAGATGCCTCGTAGAGTCGTAGAGTAGTAGGAAGAGGGATGAGACTGAGTCGAAGAGAGGAACAGCCGAATGACACCCGCTGGATGCTGGTGAGGGGTCCGCCTGTCCCCCTGATTCAACAGAGCCGTGGCTCGGCATCTCAGGGCACATTGCATTCCGGGTATGTGCAAAGAACTAACGTCTTTCTCAGAGAATCAGGGAGGTATAAAGTTTCCGCCGAACGCTAGCACAGTGTGTTCTTGTTACTGCTGTTAATTTTTGATATTGCAGACTGTTAGGTCTAGAATTTGTATTTGTAGAACGTTGAACGTTGTAGAACGTCGTATTGTCATTTGTAGAACGTTGAGACCTAGTTTTGGGCGTTTGTAGACTTTATTTATAACTTAGATCTGCGATTTCACTCGCGCAGAATGTTGTAGACATTGGTTGTGCAGTTTGTGACGGAGATGCCCCGTTTCACGGACGCTGTCGACAGGTGACGTGACGGGTACGGGCGTACCTTGTTGCTGATGTTCCGTTCGGCCGCGGTTAACCTAGGCGGACAGTGACCCGCCCTGGAGGCAACCGGCGGCCTGTATCTTTTGTTACCAGTTTGTTCGAATGTACCCGCTGTTACAGAGTGCCCTTTTTCGAAGTGATCTCAGTTATGTGTTCTGTATCAATTTTCCACGAAGAAATACAACTTTATTTGCATGTTTTGTTCATTTATTTATAACAAACTTCAAAAGTAAAACAAACTGCAGGGATTGTACTTTTCACTGGCAGTGCGGGCACTCGTTTAAAGCACAGACATGAGGCCGACAACATCAAAGCAAATAATATCCACACCAGTGAGGTAGCCTGCTTGTCACATGCAAATACAAAACAGATCATTACAGAAACACCGCACTCAACACTGGCCAAAACGAGGGACAAAAATACTGGTGAAAGACGAGCGCGAGCCCAATGCGCATATAGCTTTAGATAGCTGGCGAAACGGACGGAATGAGTGAACTTCGGCGTCACTGAGGACTAACTTAGTCCTTTCACTGGGTCGTGTGAGATGCTGAGGGGACCGGGCGGCCGTGTCACTGGTGCAGCGAGGCCTGGTCGGTCCAGAGGCCGCCATCCTCGGCCGCCTCTCCTTCTGAGCAGAGTCCCTCGCTGGCCGGCGCCGGCCCGCCCTCCTCGCCCAGCTCGAACGTCGGGCCGGCCCGCACCGGCCGGATGTGCACGTGACGCACCCGTACTGACCCAGACACCTCCCCATCACTGAGGTCCCCCGGCTCCGGCGGGCGGTCCGCCCCGGCGGGGGCGGGGGCGGCCCAGGAGCGGCGGCGGCGCGCCGACGGCCGATCACCCACCGTGGACAGGCGAGGGGAGCTGGCCGCCCGGGCCGCCGGTCTGCCCGACACCTCTGAGCGGGCGGCACTCTGCGGACCGGGGCCGGTACGGACAGCGCTCAGCCGGGAGTCTGAGGCCGTCCGCGCCGCCGGCACACTGTCCACAGAGGGCACAGGGCGCGGCAGACTACCGCGACCGGCCACCAGCTGACCGCGACTCACCGCCAGGTGACTGCCGCCTGTCGACAGGTGACTGGAGCGACGCTGGCCGGCGCTCAGATGGCTCCCAGACGGTCCCAGGGTGGACCGAGACGGTCCTGGTCCCAGTGTGGTCCTTGACGGTCCTGGTCCCAGGGTGGTTCCTGACGGTGCCAGAGTGGTCCCTGACAGTCCCGGTCCCAGGGCAGACCGAGCCGGTCCCAGTGTAGACATTGAAGGGAAGGTGCCGACCGGTACCATGTCTCCCGTCACCTCACCTTCGCTCAGCGTCGTTTCCGCAGCCTCCTGTGGGCGGGAGAGGGGAGAAACGTCAGAATTAGAACTGATTGGAAACAGTGGGAGAGGGATAGAAAGAAAGGAGAGAACAAGAATAGACGACATACGGAGCGAAAGGTCAGAACGATTGACTGATTTGGAACGGTGGGAGAGGGGGGAAGGGTGTGAGAACAGACTGACGAGGCTCTGGGAGAGGGGCAGACTCATTTTCAGCTCACCAATCGTGAAAACGTGGTCACGAAGACGGAACAAGGAAGAAATGACAATGTTTGGCAAAGTGACTATCAACAAAAACAACATCAGCTGGAAGGTATCAGCCTACCAAAGGCTGGTGAGTCCCGACTCGCGTAGCGCACCTGTTCTTTCAGATGGCTCCCGATGGTGTGCCGGGACGCAGCCGCCAGTGTCACCGCCGAGGAACGCACGGTGGTGGCGGAGCCGGCGGCACCGACCCAGCGCAGCCAGGCGGGAAGGAGTACCTCCCCCTCAGAGAGGTCCTGAGGGACAGAACAGAGTCAGTTTACCCACCCATCACGGCCAGGGGGAAAAGCACATCCTCTTCCGACAGATGCTCCAATTCAAATGCCGCGCTAGCTTGGTCTAATGCCAGACTGGTCATCAAACACATTGCACCGATATTCGCTGAATAAACTCCTAGTTATTTCCCGTTGTCACATAAGATGTTCAGAGTCCCTCATAACCCTGACTCCGCTGACGTACCTCGCCGGAGGCGGTGGACCTGTGCCCCGACGAGTCACTCCGCGACAGAGAGCCATCCCCTCCAGTCCTCTGCGCGGGCCGGTGACCGGTAGCGCCGCCAGGCGGACTCGGCGGCAGACTGAGGTTTCCCGCCGCGCCGCCAGGTGTCTCCGTCTGACAGCCGGCCTGCTGCCGATCCGGGCTATCCGGCTGGGTCTGGCAGGCGGCGGACAGACCGGCGGGCGGCGTGGTCTGACAGCAGCCCGACTGCAGCAGCGCGGAGCTGGAGCCATCCTCTGACTGCGGTGACACGACTGAAGAGCAGAACAGGACAGTGGCTGATGAAGGCACGACAGGGTTTCTCGACATGATCAGTGAAGTGAACAGCTATCCTTTATCTCATCCTTAAAACAACCACCCACTTTCAACAGAACAAGTTGAAATAATCAAAATTATTCTTCACCACCATAGGCGTCGCCAGAGATTTTCGGTTGGGGGGGGGGGGGGCAAAATCAACTTTTGTGTTAAAACTTGCCTTTCCCTAGCCTTTACTCACTCGTTTTACATATCATTTGACGCGCAATGATGCGAAGAGTCCGATGGTGACGAAGGTTTCCTTCTAGCTATGACATGTAATTTTTTACAGAAAAATTCGAAATTTAAAATTTTCATGACAAAAACGACTGGTAGAATTATAGTGACTGCGATTGCCGACGCACTGCAGAGGGCCCCTGTGCAGGCACTCGACGCTCATGATCATTACCCAGAAAAAGGTGAAAAACGCTCCATTTAATCGGATCACCCTGCTAAAACCTCCATTCACGCATGCATGCAGAGGTTTTACGTGAAATGCATAGGACTTATCCCAGCCGCCGATCGTAGCTAAGTTGGGCATTTGGCGGAGAGCGAATGTCGGAAGTGTGAATCGGAAGTAATTCATCTTTGCTCCAGTGAGAGGAAGTGTTTTGTTCACTCGAGTGTGAACAAAAGTTTCTCGTTTTTCGTGTGAGGGGAAGCGCTGCAAACGCGAACAAAAACTGTTAAACGGACCCAAAAGTTACGCACGGCATAGCGGCAAGGGATCCCATTCCCTTAAAGGTAGGTTTGGGACTTCCAGGCCATTTCAGGCCACTCAGGGTCAGTGCTGACTCTCAGAAGCATGCTTAGGATCCCGGAGATCGGCGTGGGTCACCTCAAATATTCGTGTACGTGGTGCTTTAGGGCTTTCCGAGCCCAAGGTGGGGACCTCAGAAGCCAGTGTGGGCGGCGGGCGCTAAGAGACTAGGCCCAGGGTGAGCCTGGAGCCCTCCGATAACAGTGTGAACCCTCGCGGTCTGTGTCGAATCCCTAAGGACCCTACTTAGGGACATAATAAACATGTGTTGCGGACCTCAGAGGGACACGTGAGCTGTGACCCCTCAGATGCCGGCTTGGGGTTAGCAAAGTCTGTCGCCTCAAAAGTTTGACTGAACTATCAGAGGCCAGTTAAGGTTCTCAGAAATGTTCGAAGGCTCAAAGATCCCTGCATGGGCCCTCAGAGAACATGGACACCAGTGGGACTTTCAGAAGGCCGGTTTGGGCCCTCTGAAAGCTTCTTTAGGGCTCAGTGGAGCTCCTTAGGAGACTTTGTTTAAAGCAAGCTCATGAGCCCTGCGACACTTGTACGGTACTTGAGCCTGTCGCAGATATTTGACGAGAGTTGAGAAAGACCCCGAAGATTTCGTTTCACGCTTTGAACGAAAATCGTGTCAGCACTCCAAAACTTATGAAAATCAGCTGTAAAATGTAATATAGAACGAAATAGGAACATGGAATGAATCACAGCATTGACATTTCCGAGTCTGGACTCGGAGTCTGATTTTGGCGACTGCGAGTCAGACTCTGGTTTGAACTGCACGCTGCAACCGAGTCTGACCTCACAGGCATTCTCAGAAAGGTACCCCCATTTTCCCGACTCCAAAATCTCATCGGATCTGTATCGATCTCAGGGGGTGCCCGGTCCGAGGTTGGGGGGGGGGGGGGGGGCAAGCTGCCCCGCTTGCCCCCCCGTGGCGACGCTAATGTTCACCACCGTTCCGTGCTTCTATCCTCAGCAAACTGAAATCCTTCTCCTCCACGCCGCAACCCCACTCCGGGCTGGACAGGCAACTTTATCTCATGCGGGCTGCTCCCTTGGAGCGGCACCGCTGCTCCCGAGGGAGCGCACTCCGTAGCCGGGTGCAGTGAGTGCCTTGGGGCTGGGTGGCCTGTCCTCTGGACGGGCTCAGCCCCGGCGACTCACTACAGGGTGGAAAGTAATTACGCGAACATACTTTTTCGTCTTCTAGTAATGAAAAAAACGGCGGTGACATAAACAATATATGTTTTACTTTATCCTTATCTAGTTGCGATGCATTGACATAGGCGTTCCGGCATGATTTGCATCAGTATGTGAAGATTTGTTGGCTAAAGCTCAGCCCACACCTTTTGGAGCTGTCCAGTGAGGTAATTGGTATTGGTGGCTCCTTGCAGCTTTTAGACGGTCTCCTGAGGAGTCATCTGGAGATTTTTAATCGAATTGAGGCCCAGGCGTTTCCCAGATCAGCTTTTGTATGTCCTGAAGAAAAACAGGTTCTCACAGCACCAGTATTGCGTTTTGTTGGCCGTGAAAGTAAGGATTTCACCAATCACGAAGAGCAGTTTCTTTGCGTCAGGCACAAAAGTGCGCTCAGTCATTTTGCCCCTTTCGTTGCACGGTGGATTAGACAGAGACACTCGTCTTGGAGGATGTTCCACCGGTTGTATACTTTATTTTTAGTGACCTTTTTTAGCGCTACACGCAATTCTGACACCACCCGGGGGCTCGTGACCCACTGATGTGTTCCTTTGCCGGATGTTTGAAGGTTGGGACGGACGGGACATAGGACGCAACAGCAGCCCTCAGAGCAGTTGTTCTGCAGGTTTGACGGATGAAACAGTTTCACAGATGTCTCACCCAACCACAAATCCAGCTGCCTGTCCTCCTCTGTCCATCTTTGATTGTCTTTGAAAAGCTTCAATTAACAATTCTGCTGTTAATTCGTGAATTTTGGTCATCCCGAGGGTTTGTACGACTTAATTTTCGAATTTTTTGCGTATTAATGTGCGAATCGTGATATCCTAGATCGGGTACCCGGCCAGAGTAAGCTATTTTGCCAGTTTTCGGGTCGACTGGCGTCGTTTTGTCGCCGACATAGTGACCACCCGCCCGGCGACAGAATTCGCCGAGGGGTTGCTGCCGCGGACGGCTTTGCTTTTTAAGTCCTCTCAAGTGTTATTATGTTTAAAAAAAAAACGTATAATTGTGCAATGCTGGTGCTGAGACCGCTACGAATCCCTTCTCCGCCAGTCCAGCGAAAATAATCACAAACGCTTTCCCTGGCAGCTCCAAATTGAGCTCTTTGCCCATTTCGGTCTTGTGCAGTGTATGGTGTCTGCACCATTTTAAGTCGAGAGGTGTTTAAGACCTTCCAGGTCATTGTTCAAAGTTAGGTCACTTTTGGTAGATGAGGCGACAACAAACACGACCAATTATGTTCCATGACAGCCCGTACTCATAAAAATGCTCCACTGACGGTCAAAATTGTAAGAAAATACATGTTCGCGTAATTACTTTCCACCCTGTAGGGTGCCTGCCCAGACCAATGTCTCCCCCTATATCCTATCATCCTCCCGGCTCTGAAATGGTCTCATTGGACCGAAAGGGCCTAACCCAACAAAACAAACAAACAATTATTCTTCCATATTTCAGAGGGCGTTGAAAGCAGTACATCGTATGCGGAGATTATCTAGGCTCCGCTTTCGTCGCCAATATTACGGATAAGTGCAATCCTTTACGATGAATTCGATTTTGATTTGAATGCCTGCTACTTTTAAACACAGAGTAAGCAGCACCTAACGCTGGCAGCAGCTGACCTGTTGCCGGCAGCAGACTCTGCGATGTCTGGATGGCCGTCTCCGATCGTCCCGGCGCCGTCCTCTCCACTGCCACCTGCGCCGCGCCGGCCGCCGGGGCTCGGTCCGCCCAGCGGGGAGCCGCCGCCGGTGCGCGAACCGCCGGGGCGGGGGCGGCCCGGCCGGTCGGGGCGGGAGACAGTGCTACTGCGGCGGCGGCGGGGCGTGTCCGTCGGCCGCCCTTGGGCGTCCCCCTGCCGCCGGGGCTGGTGACGGCGCTGGAGCCGCTACTGGAGCCGCAGCCAGTGCTGCTCACGGTGTCTGTGAGCGCACTGAGCGGCGGCTGAGGCGGCCGTCCGAGCGTCCTCCCGGCCGCGGGCAGAGCGGTCAGACAGCCGCCGGCGGACGGCGGGGTGGTCAGACAGCCGCCGGCGGACGGCGGCTCCGTCACCGTCCGCTGGTACACCGCCGTGCCCGGCGTCGCCTGGAAGGAGGAACAGAGCAGAGTTAGAGAGGCTAGTTATCGCACAGAACGGGACCGGGCGCACAGGACACGGTCAGAAAGGGTAGTCACCGCACGGGACGGGACCGGGCGCACAGGACACGGTCAGAAAGGGTAGTCACCGCACGGGACGGGACCGGGCGCACAGGACACGGTCAGAAAGGGTAGTCACCGCACGGGACGGGACCGGGCGCACAGGACACGGTCAGAAAGGGTAGTCACCGCACGGGACGGGACCGGGCGCACAGGACACGGCAGGACATTACCGCAAGGGACGGAACCGGTAACATAGCAATACAGCAGCAGATAAAGCCCTCCAACATCGAGAACATCTGAAACTATCGAGGATTGGTCAATTATGGTCATCCCGGTTCTCGCACGTAACTTTCGGCTCCAGTGACATTAATCACCATCGGTTCCAATGCACCATTGGTTGCATTGGCAATAAAACGATTTTTCTTTTCAAGTATTTTTCCCGTAGGTCCACGCGCTCCCACTGTACCCTACCCCTCCACTCCGCCGCTCCCACCCACCTCACCTGTTGTCTGCCGTTTGACTCGGTGTGCCGCTCTCCCTCCGCCGGCGAGTCGCTATCCCCGCCTGGCAGCAGCCCGGCGCTGTCCGACTCCAGCGCCGTGTCAGACACCTGGTCGTCCGTCTCGGCCGCCGAGTGGTCGCCGCTGCCGCCGACCGGCGCGTGCCGCTGCAGCCACTCCAGGTCGGGGTCGGGGTCACTGTCCACCGCGGCAGCGGCCGCCGACCGGCCCTCAGACGGCGGCGCCGAGCGAGACAGTGACGGCAGCGCCACCGACGGAGACACCTCCGAGGGGGGCCCGGTAGCCTCGGAGACGGTCTCAGCCGGGTCGGAGCGGGACTCGACTGCGGGGAGCGCCCGCGGCGGCTTCGGCGGAGGCGAGGGAGGCGAGCTCTGCCTCTGACCGGGGCGGTCCCCGTCCTCCCGCGGACGGTTCGCCTGCTGGTGCTGTGGCTGCTGGTGCTGCTCTTGCTGGTGTTGTTGCTGCTGCTGGTGCTGCTGGTGCTGCTGTTGCTGCTGGTGGTGCTGCTGTGGCTGCTGATACAGCAAGTGCTGCTGGTGCTGCTGCTGTTGCTGGTGCTGCCTCTGCTGTTCCTGTGACTCCTGCTGACGCTGCCGTAACTGTTCTCCCTGCTGCTGCTGATGCGGCTGCTGTTTTTCCCCCTGCTGCAGCGGCTGCCGCTGAAGAGTCTGACCGGCCCCCGCTCTCTCGGCAGCCGCCTCGACCCCGGTCGGTCCACCCACCGCCTGGCCCTCCTCCGAGGGGGACGGGCCGCCGCTCCGCGAGGAACACGAGCTGAACTGAGCCGTGGGTAGCCGGTGGTCGGCCACAGCTCGGCCCAGCTCGGCGGCCAGCGCGTCAGCCGCCACCGCCGCCGGCGAGCGGGCAGTCTGCTGCAGAGACACAGAGACATAGACTGTCAGTCAGGGGAGCAGGCAGTGAGCTGCAGACACACGGACAACTTACAGACTGTCAGACTACTGCATACAGACACACACAGTCAGGGGAGTGGGCAGTGGGCTGCAGACACACAGACAGCACAGATTGTCAGACTACTGCAGACAGATACACACAGTCAGTCAGGGAAGTGGGCAGTGAGCTGCAGACACACAGACAGCACAGACTCGTCACACTATTGCAGACACATCGACACAGAGACTATCAGGAAGAGGGTGAATGGCGGCTGCACTAAAACCACAGGCAGCTGGAATCTGTCTTTCTATCTATGGGCTTCATTTAGACTTTTAAAATATTCCATTTAAAGTTTCGCGACCTCCTTGACAATAGGAGAGCTCGGCAGGGAGCGGTATATTGATTTTGACAATGAAGTCCGTGATAAATGCCATCGAGCACCGTGACTAAAATGTCAAGCTCATGTAAACTAATTCGATTAAACTCACCGCGACCCCCACGACATACACATAGCAGTACTTACCCGGACCGACTCGGATGATCCTGTGACGTCATCGGACCGACTGGAGCCGGGCGAGTCACCGCAGCCGGCCACACCACATAATATTATCCCGTACTTACCCGGACCGACTCGGAGGACCCTTTGACGTCATCGGACCGACTGGAGCCGGGCGAGTCTCCGCAGCCGGCCATGGAGGCGGCCACCACCTCCTGGATCCTGGTGGACACAGACGGATCAGTTAGCCGGTTGATAAGGAACAGCGCCCTTAGATGGAAAACGTCTCGGGGGCCGTCAGCAGTCAGCACTAAATCACGGCGATCAAGTCCCACTATGATCGAAAAAGTAAAATGCATGCGAGACGGAATATTGTGAAGCCGGGATACTCAAAGTTGCTGACGACAAAATAGGACAAAATGCTGACGACAAAATAACACTGAAAACAAAATATGATAGCCAGGCAGGCAATTTCAGGAAAGGTCGCAAGGCACGCCACATCTAGACAATGAGTGCCGACTGTACCTTTGCACTCACAATTTGTAGGCGTTGATCTCCAGTTTCCTCTTTGTCTCGCCACTGGTTCGCTGACGGCCCGCCGAGCTGAACACACCCGTGTCCATCGGCACCCACGTGACGTCAGCTCTGACATCAGAGCGGGCCCGCGGCCGGTGTCCGCCTGTCGCCGGCACGGCGGGCGGACCGTCGCGCCACCGGACCCCCGGGCCGCCGACGGATGGCGCCGGACGCAGTACCGCCGGCTCACGGCCGGGGGAGCGGCGCGCGTCCCCGCCAGCCGAGGGAGTACGCCGGACACCGGCGGCAGCGCGGTCTGTACGGCGACGGTCACCACCAGATCTGCCGCCGGTAGCGGGCGCAGACCGCGCTCCCCGACGGCCACCGGAGCTCCCTCTGACGTCAGTGGCGCGACCAGCCGACTGTCTGTCCGGCGGCCCCGCGCCGTCAGTGTCGGCCCCGGCCGCCAGTCTCGCTCCTCCCGCCTCACCGCCGCCCTGTCCGCCCTGCCCTGCCGTCTCATCAGGCTCAGCCGGCCGCGGGGTGGGCGGCTCGCTGTCAGCTCCCACGCTGGTCGGTGGCCGCGGCGGGCCGGACGCGCCGCCCTCCGTTCCTCCGGTTTCCTGCTGCGGTTCGCTCTCCTCCAGTGCCGGCGGCGGCTCCTCCCCGCGGGACAGGGCGTCCTCAGGGCCGACCGGCGGGGGCTCCTGGTCGTCTGAGGCGTCTGAGGACTCATCCAGACCGAGGTGCACGAGTCGGACAGAGTCCGCTGGCGGCGCCACCACGCGGCGCGGTCGGCGTGCGCTCTGAAACTCCTCGTACGCCAGCAGTGGCGGGGCGCGTGACGCCGGTGCCGGCGGCTGAGGCTGTGGGGGAGGCGGCGGTGGCGGCGGCGCGGGTGGCTCCCCTCCCCCCACCGGCGGGAACAGCGCGGCCCGGGCAGTATCCTCCAGATGCCTAGGCCGGGAGAGCGGGATGGCGGCGTTCGGCGCGGCGCCGCCGGCTCCAACGGCCGCGGGAGGCTCCCTCTGCGGGTGGTGGCCTCTCGGAGCGGCGGGGGGCGCCGCGCCGCGGGCGGCCGCTCGCGGAGGTGCCGCTCTGGGCGGGGGCGGGGGCGGGGGCGGCCGCTGTCGCTCTCTGCGCTGCTGGGCGCGACGCTCGGTGGCCAGCTGCAGTGGACGCGCCCGGCCAGCACGGGAAGCGGCCGGGACGGCAGGCGTGGCGGCCGGAGCGCGGACAGAAGCGCGGACAGGGGCTGAGGTGGGAGCGGGGGCGGCCGGCGACAGGGGCCGCTCGGCCCGGTGACTCAGCAGCCTCTCTGCTCGGTACCAGTGCTGCTGTTCTTCCTCAAACAGGCTCTGCACCAGTTCCTGGGAAGATCACATGCTTATCAATGATCACTCCAGACCATGCCTTACCAACACAAGCATAAAGCAGGCACTTAATTGAGCTAGAGTGCAGTGATTAGTAAGGGAAAGAGAGCAGGCTCATAATGCATAAAAGGCAAAAGCTTAAACTTCAACTTATTTTCAAATTTGTTATTTTCAAATTTTATCTGTGCAAGTATTAAGTAACCTATGCATCATGCAATTAATGCAATGGCACTGTCTTCAATGAATGGAAAACTGAGTCACTTTAGAACCCCTACTAAATCAAACAAAATTAGTGCTACTTAATTGACTTCATACCTGCACACCGGTTTCAGCCTGTCTGATGCATTGGTCCACAAGTCGTGCAGGATCTCCCAGCTCAGGACTGGCAATGAGAGGAGCTCTGGTCAGGCTGTACAAACCAGTGGCGGCGAATTCGATTTTGGCGTGGGGGGGGGGGGGCAAGATCCCAGTCGAGATGATGTCATAGGCGGATCCAGAAAGGCGTTTTCGCCGCTGTAGGGGACATACCCCCCCAAAAAAAAGTGTCCAAAATCCAAAAACTCCTCTGATTTTGATTCCTTACAGACCTACTGCTGAACAGTATAAAGCAAAAAAAGTCCTGATAAAAGTGTTATTATTAGGAAACATAAGGTACGTTTTGTCTATTTCGGGCGATGCATGGGCCAGAGGGAGGGGGAGTAAATATTTGTTTTAAATGTCCGCTCCTTGGATCCGCCAGTGGACGATGTAACGCTTTTCGTATTGCTGTATTAGAAAAAAGCTCCAATGGGAAAAATTGTGCCATAACCCGATCTGGGTCGCATATCAGATGTTGAAGAACGGTGCCAAACCTTTTGAAGTAGGCGAGCGCTATTCTTCAATGAGGTAACTCGTTACCATTTCCTCTGTTCATTTTACGTTCGATTTCCGTTATCCCTTCCTTTAAAAAGTATTTCTGAGACAGATATCAACTGAAACTAGCTCACAGCGGGAGGAGACCGCTCAAACATTCAGAGACAGTCATCGCATCTAAACCTATTGGGAAAGCGATCCGCCAGAAACCCTCCCCAAGGCAGTAGTTCGTCAATTAAGCTCACCGAGACGGGCTGTCTCGATGGGTTTATACAGTAAGCCTACAGCAAGGCTTAACTAAGGCCCAAACGCTCGTCAAGCTGGAAACGGAGGTCTGAGGTGAGGGAGTGCGGCGGCGGGCTGGGGTGAAGGAACGGTGGACTGGAACGAGAATCCAGAAGCTCTGGGTGGGGCGTTTCTTTATTTTAGGGCTTTAGGGTGCGCTGACTGCGGTAAGGGCCCAATTATCACACCAAATTTTGCCACAACATCTACCGGTTCAGGTACTCGAGAATCAGCGGCCAGTGATATCTGCAAAGACGAAGCATTTCCAACCCAGCTTCAGCCTGGTGTCAGGGCGCCTCAGGTGGCTTTAATTACAGTTGCACATATCCAAACGACCTCAGTGCAGCCAGTCTGTGGCCGAAACCATTCGGAACAGACTTCAACGAAAAGTGAGACAAGATTAGTGCTATCGTTATGTGCCATTATAGGCTTGGGGCCCGTTGGCTTGACCCACTGGAAGGTGGTAGTTATCGGACACTGCGGGGCATACTCATTTTTCCAAAATGCCTTAGATTTTGTTTTCGTGTTCATAGGCGGCGGAACGGGGAGGGCACCGGGGCACCGTGCACCCCTTTGATTTTGGCATTTTAACGTTAGCCCTATGGGCGTTGCATGGAAAGAATGGGACCAAAAGTTGGCAGTGCCTCCCCCCTTAATTGAAGGTGTTTCGCCGCTACTGTTCGTGTTTGCTGCTCTTTATTCTATAGCCAGCCTTTAGACAGAGGGGGGCCCACTAATGATCAGTGCCCTAACCCTCAAAGGTTTCCAACATTAATTTTTACTTCTTTAATAGTGAAAACCGAAATAAAGCGGATACTGAACTGTGAACATCCAGTTTTTACACTAGCCCCACACAAGCCTCCGAATGCCCAAAGCAGATCTCTGATGACTGGCCTTTGGGTGTCATACCATACCGTGCATTGGTCAATTTGGTCAATGTGTACGACCTCGGCGTTTACCATTTTATGCGCTGGAAACTGTTGCGCTCGAAAAAAAAATCAGGGGAGTGGCTTATTATGAGCGCTCATCAGTCCTAACTACCCGCAAGCGAATGGCTAGCCCTTACGTCTCTGCTCGCTTGCGATTTGGCATTTATGTAGGTAAAAAAAGGCGGCAAACGACCACTGAAGGTATGAGTTGAGTCTCTCGCACACTTGAAATATCTCTAAATCGAATCTAGAAGACAAAAATGATATAAAGCGGAAATGGGTAGCATTTACACATATTCAAAAGGCACCGTTGGACAAACTGTAGGAGCGCAAAGCTGCAATATCAGGTTATGAAAAAATTTTCTCATGTTTAGGGCACAAATTATGGAGGGGCAAGAATACACGTTTGCCCCTCCTCCAAAAGTTCCTTATGGGACGATGCCTCCTCTGCCACCCCGTATCCGTCGCCCCTGTAGGCTGTAAGCGGTCACTGAAGGCCTGGGTTGCCGCTCGTCACATTGACGCTTATCATGCCTCCAAAACTAGGTTGAAGAGAGGAAAACCTCATTTGAACGCGAACGTTTGCCATTTAAGAAAGGCAGCGTATGATAAAGTATATGGGCATCTGGTTACATCTTCAGATGATCGAACAGAATAATCAGGTATATGGTTTCTTGTCTAAGCTTTGTCACAAATTATGGGGGGGGGGGCAAAAAGATACCTTTGCCCCCTCACGAGTTTGCCAGGGGGGGCAGCTGCCCCCCCTGCCCCCCGAATCCGCCGCCCCTGGTACAAACCATTTCCTTCTACAGAACACAACACAGAATGAAGTGAACACATTCCAGACAATGATCTCTGTGATATTTGAATGCCATATGTGAGATGAAAACCTACCCATGTGCAGTTAGATGGTCCAGATATCTGTGAAAGTCAGCAGGATCTGTGCGGACTGGACGGCTACAAAGAATGGCATTCTTCTGTCTTTGCACCTCTTCCAACAAAGAGTACAGAGGCTGCAAGTCTGAAGACATGGCGCTCTGAAAAAGTAAAAAGAGAAAGATAGAATCAAATACAAAGTGCATCTGCAGCTTGTTTAATGAATGAATAAAATTGCAAAAGAAATACAGGTGCCACTTTCCATCAATGAATTAGTTTTTTGCAACAGTTTTATAGTATGCATTAAAAGATCAGAAAAAGATTATCATTTAAAACAATACTTAAGGAATTTCAAATTATTAGGTAAATATTTACTTTAGGTCCGCAATATTATTTTAACAAGAAAAAATGCACATTCTTACACTATTTGATGTCCTGAATTCAGATATGATGCTTAAATGCATCAAAAATGTAAAATAAGATACTAAAACCCCAGCTTATTTATGAAAATGACGTCATAATACCAATTAAGCACAAGAAAAACGGTGAATAAAAAAGAGAAAATATTTAGCAAAGGTAATAGAGCATGAGAAAATGATCAGAACATAACCAAACCTTACCTAACCTGACCTACTGATGTTTGCCTACTGGGGGAAAAGGAAAAAGTGACTTGCATGAATAGATTGCAAGCAATGGTAAGTCAAATATTTTTAGGTTAAGTGGTTATGCATTCAGGCCTTCGGCCTGAAGCCAGATACACATCCACTTAACCTAAAAATATTTGACTTACCATTGCCTGTAATCTCTTCTAAGGCATTGCCTTCGGCACTGCACCGCTCCGCCACGATTATTTTGACGTCACTGTCCTTACAGTTTATTATCATCCGTAATTTCGCTCAACCTTGGTTGGACCATTTGTAGCGGGTGCGCCGCGCAGACGGTCTTTTGACACGTGCAGTTCCGGTCGGAGGTGGGGCCGTTGGTGGTGATGCTGGTGATACTAGTGTACTGGTGCTTTTAAATTGGTTTCTAGAAGGAATAAGTATCAGAAATGAAATCAGGAGGTCTTAGAGTATCGTGTGAATGACTTCTATTTACCCCTCTGTTTTGCGGACCTAAAGTAAATAAATACCAATTATTTTTGTCAAGGAAAAACTACATTCCAGAGACTACAGTGGAGACTAGTCACATAGTGTCTGCCGCAGAAGCTTATAACACGTTGAACACGCATGGGTATTGCACTATTGCGTAATTCAAAACCAACTCAAACAGAGAGTACCGTCAAGGTGATAGTATATCTATGCTGAAAGATCAATATAAGAATTAGCTCAGTTGGGCAAACTAGACATTTGGAATCAAAATATGGAGGCATCAATAATTTGATTCTGGTGGGAGGAGCCATGACCAAATATGGGCATGGAATCAATTTTTTGATTCATTTGGGTACACTTTTGACTTCAAATGAATCGTTACGGTTGAAAAAAGGCCCATGACGGTGAGATTTTTCTTTTAAAAGGTAGAAAAATGTGGTAGGTTTCCAAAAAGTGTTACCTCAAAGCTAAGAAATTGTCCCTTTGGCCTTGTGAATGGGAAAAAGACAGAGCCACTGTCCATCACGTAAAAGCTGTTTTGAGGAAATCACACTGTATGTTATTTTTGTATCATGAATCACATACTAACCAATCAGTA